TTCCTGAGGCCTCTCTAGGGCCCCTTAAGGCGGCGGCTAGGATTTTCGTTTTGTGCCCCCTCTCTATGGGGCTCCTCTCGGGGCCGCATTGGGGCCCTGTCGGGCCGCCCCGAGCGCTTCCTGGGCCGTCGCGGCGCGCCCCCGAGCCGCATTGGGGCCCTCTTGGAGGCTTCTTGGGTTGTTTGGGGGCCGCATCGGGGGCATATTGGGCCTTCTTGGGGCGTCGGCTGGCCGAGGAAGCGAGGCCGCCAGCTTTCCAACATCGCAAGGGCAATGTGTGACATTTGCCTGATGGGGGCCCTCTTGGGAGACTCCTAGGGGGCGCCGTGTTCAGGCCGTCTTGGGCGTCTTCGAGCGATCGTTCGGCGACTCGGGGCTCTTCCACCGTCTCGGGGGCTGGGCCGTCGTGGAAGCCTCGCCCCGGGGAGGCGCCGCGGCCGCCCGGGGCCTCCCCGGGGGCGCGGGCGACGCGCGCGACGCCGCGCGGCCTGGCGGGGGGTGTCCCTGAGAAGATAGGAAATCTTGACCACGCAGCAGCAATGGGCATTTTAGCGCGCCTCGACGTGCCTGGGGGCGCGGCGACGGATCTTCAAGGAACGCGAGCTGTTCGTGCAGCCGACATTCTTCGACCGCCTTAAGGTTAAGGCGGGCAGACCTGCTCCAGCGCTGCGGGGGCGAACCGCCGCAACGACGCGGTCATCACTAGTAATGCCTTCCATGGGTGCTGTCGAGGAGCATCAGCTGACTGCGACTTAGACGCATGCACGGGCGCTTGCGACCGCGCGCCGTGACATGCAACATAGGGAACGACGACCAGGCGCGCCGTGACCAACGGGCCAGCCAATCGCAAGCTGGACAGCGACAAGCGCAAGCATCTGGACCGCCACGCCAAGTTCGACAACCTGCTCAATGACGCGCCACTGCCTGACATGCCACTGGATGTCGACGCTCGCCATCCGGAGACGGACGCCATCGTCGAGAAAGCTGCTACATCGCGTTTCGAAGCTGATCGACTGACGCCCTTGCAGCCGTGCGTTTCGGAAGTGACTATGGAGCTCGTGCGACTGCGAGAATGGATCTGGTGTGACAATGGAGTTGGGCTCCGCGCTCACCTTGGCGATCTTCTCCGTCGCCCGCCTCCCGGGCGCGCGCGGTGCCAGCGCGCCGAGGAACTTCGCGATCGACGTGGCGCCGCGCGACGCCGCCCGAGCTTTGCCGAGGCGCCATCAGAGTGCGTCATGAGGGCGGGGCCCCGTCATCCGGGCGCTGCATTTCTCGTTGGTTTCGGGGGCCAGGCGTTTTCGCTCAGCTCCGGGGCCCGGGGCGATCGCAGATCGACCAGGCTCGAAACATGCCGCAGAGAGATGGTGTCGAGAGCTCTTGATGGATGAAAGAAGTCCCACGCGTCGTGATTGGCCAAGCGCTCTGTCAATGCGGATCGGACTGCGCAGATGGAGGAGAGAGTTCGGATATGGCAGCGCGCGCGGAGACTGGTGGCGCGCGCCATGGATGGCGCGCGCCGAACATTACACTGCGGTGCAGAGGCAGGGCGGGGCGAACCGTGAATCGCCCGCAGCTTCGCGACGCGGGCGGACTCTAGTCAGTAGTCGCAGTGGAGCCGCAGGTAAATGCAGTCATCTTCGCGATCGTCGCGCAGACGGAGGACGCCGAGCTCATTGGTGCGTGCCGAATAGCTCCAGGGCCAGTGCAACAAGCGTCTTCACCACGATTGTCTCCAGACGCCACTGATTCAGGCTCGACGCCGACGCCGCGCCGAGCAGGGCGCATGATTCGAGGAGCTGAGTGCCGCGAGGCGCCTGGGTGCGACATGATCTCTGGGGCCCTGCTCGCTGGGCGCGCGCGCTCGCTCTCGCGACGCAACGGCCCCGTCGTCGTCGCGTCTAGCATTCGTCGGAAAGAACCTTATGAATGGAATCGCGGGTTTGCAACGCCATTCTCATGAGGAGACGGGTTCCCGTGCGCCTGGCGAACAAACAACTGCTCCATCTTGCTCAACGCGGCATAGCGAGCACATGTTGGCGAACAGTGCTGCAACGCGAAGAGTTGCCGGCATGCCGCGGGCGCTGAAGTTTTTCACGCTGGGGCCAGGTTAGCTGGCATTGCACGTGTTGTTCGGCGACGATGGCTTGCCTGTGTTGGCAGCTTGTTTGTTCGTGCCCCTGAGCGCTCTTCTTCCTAGTGGGTTAGCTTGCCGAACGCGGCGGCTCCTGGACGTCGGTGCATCTGGAGGACATGCGCTGGGATTCCACGCAGGACTGCTCTTGTAAATGCAAGAACCTTATGATAAAGCGTTGGTTTCGTTTTGCGTTTGACGCCCGAGGGGGGCTCAAAGCGTCGGTGAAGATGGCATGGAAGCATTGGGCCCCGATTGAATTCGGTAGACTGCAGCAAGAATGCTGGCTGCGTCGCGCATTGTCACTGGCGCCGTTGGGTTTGCAATCGGAAGACAGCGTTGCCGAGGAGAGGCTTGTCCGTGGCACCTGAGGGGCAACGCTCGCGACGGTGGCCGCGCGGCGTCTTTGTCTTCTTGAGCGTCGACCCATTGACCTCGCGCAGACGCTTGCCCCCGGCACCCAGTGCGGGGCGTGCTGCATTTTTCCGGCAACAGATCGCTCTTGATAAATGCCTTTGCAAAAGTGGAAGCGCGCGTGCGCCGCGGCGGCGCAGTTGAGGGCGTCTGTGGAGACGGGCGCCGGCGTGGGCGAGGCCAGAAATCCACGCCGTCGACGCCGCCTGCAATCGACGCGACCATCCAGAAGTACCCGCAGGGCTTTTGTCGCCTAAAACATGACGGAGAGACGCTGCCCGAGGAGTCTGGAATATTCTATGTTCGCGAACCCCACGCCGCGGACCTGAGGTCATTGGAGACTGCGCACGATATAGCGAATCTTGAAAATGGCTTCAGAGTTCCGGTTGGCGCTTGCAACGGTTCAGCTTTGCTTCTTGGCCGGGCCAGGAACACTTATAAGCAGTGCTTCTGCACTTGCTTTTCTCTGCTTGCATCGTTTGCTTCTCTCCCAGCGCTCTCCGTGCCGGCCCACTGCCCGCGGCGGGCGGCGGCAGGTCCAGGCTGCTTGCGCGGCAGCCAAGGCCATTTTGGCCGCGAAGTCATTCATTCTTAAAGGAGCTACCCCTCCCTCCGCGTGCGCCCCGGGTAGCGGGCTCGCGCCCGGCGCCGTGACAAATGCGGCATTGCGACCAAGGGAGGGCGGTAGTTCCAGTGTGTGTCGCAGTGCCATCGCCTCCTTCGAGTTGCTCCATCGTCCGATCGGGGCGGTCAGATGGTCTTCTCGCCTTCCGAGCTCCTGGCCGCCCATGCCTTGCTGCGGTATGTTTCAGGTTAGGCATAGTCCGTGGCGAAGAGCAAGTTGCGGGTACCCAGGCTACGGTGCCGCGTGCAATGGGGGGCGGGACATCGGCGGTGAAAGTGGCAAAGGCGACGCGAACCCAAGCGCCGCCGAGCGGACCCCCGCCTCTTTCTGCCCAGCCTCTCTGCGCGTGGAAAGGCAACTGCTCCTTTAGGGAATCCTTGCCGTTGATGAGGCTCTGTGCGTCTTCTGTCGCGCCTGTTGTCTCGGTCTCTTGTTTTGCGAAGCGATTATGATGCCTTGATCTTGCTCATGCTCCGTTCATCACTCCACCTTTTTCTTCTTTGCCGCTCCGCAGTTGGCCGAGACGCTGACTTTGCCTGCCATGACCAGGCGCTTTCACGGTGCTTACGCAGCCTCACGCTCAGCTGGCGCGTCGTGCTACCGACGAGGCGGCGCAGCACAACTTGGCGCCGCTTCCTGCTTCCTTTTCACCGTCTCGGTTCTTGGGGAGGTCGTGGGTGCGGTGATGGTCTGAAGGAGGGGGTTGGAGGTTTCTTGTCTGCGTCTTTGTCCGCATGTCTCTGCTTGCCTAGCCCGCTGTTGAGATCTTCCGCTCAGCCCAGGGGGCGCGGGGCGCTCCGCGCTCGAGTGTGGGGTCGGCGAACCCGTCGGGTTTGGCCCCGCGGGGCAGCGCGGGGCAGCCGGCAGTTCTCGCTCCGCTCCTTTGTCCAGTGTTGCGGATGTGTCCCATCTTGTTGGTCCCTCTCCCGCCACTGTGGTGCCGCCGGTTTGTCTCGGGCGACCTGGCGCTTCGGGACCGTGAGACCCCATAGTATACCCGAGGAGAAAAGAGGTCAAGCTGGCCAGCCCGAGTGGGTCGGCGGTCCCCGTCCCCTCCCTCAACGGAACAACCCGTGCCAGCGCCATTGGGCGTTGGGACGGGCGTGCGCCCCAGCCCGGCGAGCGGATGGTGCTCACCCCGGACATCCAGCGCCTCGGAAAAGTCGCGACGGAGGTGTTTCATCTTTTTCCGTGTCTCGGGGCCCTTGCCCGGGCCCAGAGCTGTCAAAAACGATTCGGGATGGAGAGCTGGTCTTTGGGAAGTGGTCGAGTGGTCGCGAGCCCGCGTCTTGAAAAAGTTGAGTCGCGGGATGTCTCTGGGGCTCGCGCCCGGCGCCTTGGCGGCGGAGAAGCATCGGCCGCGCCGAGGCGGGGCTGGGGTTCCTTGAGGGTACCATTCGGCCCTCTCGTGCGTGGCCACCTGTCCGATGGGAGTAGCGAAGGCAAGACGTGCGCCGCATCCGAACGGGATCGCCACCTTCTGCGGGACACCAGGTCGGACAGCAGCTGCTGCAGCAGGAGGAGTACCCTCGGATCCGGGCGGCGCAGCAGGAGGAGCGACGGCCAACTTGCTCGTCGCTCTCGGCACTTGGAGGCCTTTCCTGGGCCCAGGGGCCGTCGGGAGTCGGCTTGGTATGAACAGCAGGCCTCGGGGCCGAAACCCAGGGGGCCCCACGTCACGGACATATCGAACCGCGGGAGGAGAAGGGAGGCATATGGCGAGGAGGAGGAGGAGGAGGAGGAGGAGAAGGAGGAGGAGGGGAGGAGGGACGAAAACCAGGAGGGAGAGAGGATGGGAGGGATACCGTTTGAAAGCTCAACGCCTAGGTGGAGCGAGCCTGACGTCTGCGCCCAGATCGCCGAAGGCGGAGGGGAGAGCATACTGAACGAGCATTTGCTGTCCATGTCGGTGGACGTTAGCAAGTTCGGCGCCAACAAGGCCGACCTCCAGCAAGGATTTCTAGGAGTGGGCAGGAGGAGGAGGAGGAGGAGGAGGAGGAGGAGGACGGGGAGCCTGGACGACCATCATTTCCGGTTTTGCCGTGTGGGGTGCTCAGGAGTGTTCAGCGTGCGCGAGTCCAGTGCGATTTCGCTCGGCTGAACCCGCTTGTCTCTCGTTCAACAAGTCTTGGGTGGCGAGTTCTGTTGTTTGCAAATGTTTTGCACAGGAGGAGGAAGAGGCTGGTAATTAGGAGAGGGAGAACGGTTTTCCTATGTATTCGGTCGTATCACTTGGTTCTTGGGGGTTTGGGGTGCCGGGGGGTTCTAGAAGAGTAGGTGGGCGGAGGAGTGGGGGCAGATAGGGGGAAGGGACGAAGGGGAGGGAGGGGCAAGGAGACTGGAGAGGGAGTCGAGCGGGTCGGGAAAAAACGGGGGCAGGGTGGGGGAGCCGCGGAAGGGGAGCTCTTATCTCGGGGTGAGGGAGCAGGCAACCGTGTGGAGACAAAGTGAGGGCATAAGATGAAAGAGGGGGAGGGGGGAGGGGGAGGGGGAGGGGAATGGAAAGGAGGGATGGGGGAAAGAACAGGATCAGGGGGAGGGAGGAGGACGACAGAGGGGGGGGATGAGGGGTAAGCCCAGGGAGCTCTCCAAGACATGGTGTTCGCACACATCGGAAAGCTGGGTGGGGCTGCTAGGTGGGGCTACCCGAGGCTCTCCAAGGAACATGAACAATATCAATGCAAATTATTTGACGGGGGATCCCTGCATGTGCATTTCAGTTTCTATTACTAATGAATTCGCTTTCCCCTCTTGGGCCTCTTTTGGGGCTTTTGTTGAAGCCTTTCGAGACGTCTTGTGGACTGGGCCATCTTGGAGCCCTCTTGGGTCGCCTTGGGGCCTCCATGGTGGTTGACAGTATTGGGCGATTTGGGGACCATATTCGGCCGTCAAGTGACTAGTGCGTTCTGAAACCCGACGAGGCGGCACGGCCAAACACATGCAACCACCAATTTGGGATCATTGTGTTCGGCTTCCTGGGGCCCTCTTGAGGTTCAAGCTGGCGCTCTCTTAGGGCGTCTCGGAGGCCGGGTCGTCGGGAGACCACCTGGGGCCGTCTCGTCGTGCTGTTTGGCCTCGGGGCCTCTTGGGCCGTCCTGGGGCCCTTTAGGGCGCCTCCTGGCCCGTCGTCGGAGCCCTCCGGCCCCCGGCGAAGTCACGCGGGGCGCCCCAGGCATCACGCGGCGATCGCAGAGAAGTCCGGTGGGCTCCAGGTCCCTGGAGTGCAGTCGGACCGAGGTATGAGATCGAGGTCGGCTCGGGGAGGGTACCCCAGTGTTCTTCGTGTTTGTTGGATGTCCTTGTGCATCCAGGGGAGGGTACCCTTGGACGTTTTGTTTGCTTTGGCCGGCGGCGGGCCTCATGTTCTTCAAGGACATTCTTCAGGCCTGGGTCCGACTGCCTTCAGAATGTGTACGACACGCTGAGACCTGGCAGGAGCCCGAGGTCACTCCTCTCGGGGCCCGCGGCGCGGTGCCCCATCGGGCGTCTCCTGTTTCCTCCGAGGTGGGGCTCCTGCTGAAGCGTGGGCCGCAGCTTAGGGTGTCCGTGCATCGCTGCCGTCATTTGGAACGGCTCTGTTGCCCCGGTTTGGGGGGCCCGAGATGGGTGCGGACAACAATGGGCACGATACCCAGCAGCGAATGCTGTCCAGAACCGGCAGCGGCGGCTTTTGGCGGGCGACCTTTAGTCTCAAACGGACAACGCCTGCGACGACACTGACAGCGAACCCGGTTCAAAACGGACTGGGACACCGCTGGTGGTCTTCGTGCCCACTCTTGCCGCTTTTGGTCCGTTACGGACTGGGTCCGATTCCATATTCGCCCTTCCCTTAGGCTTCCTTCTCCTTCTGCCCCTTTCTGCTCCTCCTGTCCTTTGTGCTCCTGCTGCTCTCCCTGCTCCTCCTGCTCTTGCTCCTCGCTCTTCCTGCTCCTCCTCCTTTTTCCTTCCTCATCCCTCGTCCCACCCCCCCTCCCTCCCTCCTTTCTCCTTCCTCCCTCCTTCCTCCCTCCTCCTCCTCCTCCTCCTCCTCTTCCTCCTTCCTTCCTCTCCTCTCTTCTCCTCCCCCGGCCCCCCCCCACTCCAACGTACCCCCCCCTGGCGATTGTACGGCAAACGCTGGGTCACTCCCTGCAGATGCCATTCGGGGACCAGGGTCTCTTGATTGCCGCAATGGGAAGAGATGGGCGGGAGTAGCAATTTTCACCGAAGGGCACAGATAGAGCCCCAGGAAATCGCGCTTCGCCCTGACCCACTAGGTCCTCGGATCCCCCCAAAAGACCTCCGCTCGCTACTCCTCCTGTTCGTCCTCGTCGTCGTCCTCCTCCTCCTACTCCTCCTCCTCCTCCTTCTCCCTCTCCTCCTCCGCCTTCTCGTCCTGTTCCTCGTCCCCCTTACTTCTCCTCTCTCCTCCCCGCGGGCGGGCTCCCTCACCGCCCCTCTCTCCTCCTCCTCCGCCCGCCTCTTCCCCCTCCGCCTCCTAGTACCGGCGCCCCGTCTCACTATCCTCCTCCGCCTTCTCCCGTCCCCAACCCCTGCCAGCAAGAGATGTAGAGAAGGGGGGAGTGGAGGAGGAAACGGGTGGAGGATGCCTCTTGCCATCGCGAGGCCATCGGCAGCCCGAAGAAAACAGCTGGTCAAGCAGCACCAGGAAAGGGGAGGCCAAGGGTGCAGGAGGTGGAAGAGCAGGAAGAGCAGGAAAGGAGGTGAGGTGAGTGGAGGAGGAAGCGTACACAACGCGATTCCATCTCAGGGGGCTCACTGTGGTGGGGGACGGCGAGGGTGACAATTACTAGGCGGGAGGAGTGGGGTGTCTCGGCGGCGAGCCCGGGGGGGAAGTGAGAGGGGCAGGCCTTCTCAGAAAGATCGGAAGGTCTCCGGTCTTCTGAACAGTCTTCTAAGCCTGGAGGCGCGAGGGCTTCTGAGAGGCCCCGCCGCCATCTGAGAAGGCCTGCTCCTTCTCACTTCCCCCAGGCGCGCCACCGAGTGTCAGACGAGGCGCGAGCGCACCCGACTTGCCGTGCCCTGCCTCGATCTGTTCTCCCCTCCCTCCTGCTCCCAGGCGCTCCTCCCCTCCCTGCATGGGGTCTCCAGCGGGAGGGCTAGGAACAGCTGACCCCTCGACCGTCGATCAGAGGAGGAGGAGGAGGAGGGGGAGGAGGAGGAGGAGGAGGAGGAGGAGGAGGAGGAGGCGGAGGAGGAGGAGGAGGAGGAGGTAGATGAGGGGGCGGAGGAGGAGGCGGAGGAGGAGGAGGCGGAGGAGGAGGGATCCTCGATCTTCTCTCCTCCCCATGCCTCCCCTCCCCTCCCCTGGCTGCCTGCGCCTCCCCTGCTCCCTTTCCCCGCCCTCGCTAGCCTCCCCCGGGCCCCCGGGCGGGGGGCCGCCGGTCGCGCCGATCAGTCGGCCCCCCTCCCCGCTCCTGCTGCCGCCGCTCGCCCGTTCCCCGCCGCCGTCCTCTCCCCCATCCCCCCCCATCCACGTCCTCCCCATCCATCCTCCACATCCTTCCCATCCCCCCATCCTCCTCCCCCCTCTTCCCCATCCTCCCCCACCCACATCCTCCCCATCCTTCCCCATCCTCCCCTGCTCTTTGACGTCCCCGTCCTCCCCGTCCACACCTCGATGACTGCCGCCGAGTGGCAGGGCTTGTCTCGGCAGGCTTCCTCGTTGGCCTCGTCCCATGAGTCTGGTCGGCCACGGGGCCTGGCAGTCTGACATGTGTTCAGGGGTCCGATGCTCCGATGCTGCTGCTGCTGCTGCTGCTGCTGCTGCTGCTCCTCGCTCTCCTTGTCCTCCATCTCCTTCTCATGATCCATCCTCTGCTTTTCCGCTTTCTTCTTCAGCTCCTCGTTCTCCTCATCTTCCCCCTTTCCCCCTTTTCCTTTTCCACGAGGCGAAGACGGTGAAGCAGCTCGCGCAGGAGTTGTACAAGGGGGAGTCGGCCCTGGTACACCAGGAGGACGGGAACCTGCTGCGCATAGGAGCTCTTTTCGAGATGGGATGGGGACCGGCCGATCCGCGTCTATTCACCGAGTATCCTGGCCGCCTTGGGGCGCGACATCACAGCATCGTAGGGTGTTGTTCGTGGCGGTATTCAGAGGAGCCGCGCGCTCTTTCCCGGGAGGTGGTGACGGGACAACGGATTCCGACTCTAATTTATCATTCTTTCGTCTCCCTCCTTTCTCATCCTCCTCGTCCTCGCCGCCGCCTGTGTCTCCTCCCCTTGGTCTTTATCGCAGTCGCTCTTCGCGTGTGACGTCGGATCGTGTGGTGGGCCGCGCTGCTTCGGCGGGGCAGCTCGCACTCATGGCTCGGAGGGCTCCTCGTGGAGCGGCAGCTTGCGCCCGGGTGAGGAAGCACGCGAAAGGCCTGGCTCGTCTCACGTCTTCGCCTACGGCTGGTTGGCTCCGTCATGCGTCGCTGGATCGCCTGGCAGTACGCGCCTGTACCTATCCAGCCCATGATCTGCAACTGTTTAGGTCGCCGCCTCGCGGCCCCAGCTGCCATTATCGTGCTCGCGTCCGTGATCTCCTTCCTTCTTCTTGCCCTGTGGTTGTTTACCTCTGGGCCGTTGCCGTGTAATGAGCCCACTGCGCGCGCGTCGGCAGACTCGGGCAACCACGCTGCCCGCCCACTCCAAGTGATGCTGCTGATCCCCCGCCTGCTGCAATGCCTGGATTGTGTGGTCCTTCAGAAGAGCCTCAAAAGGGACCTGAAGTTCCTTGCAGTTTGGAGGGTTCGTCTGGGGTTCGTCGGATTTGGAAGGTGTCTGGACGAAATGTGGACGAGGGGTATATGAGGGGTGGTCGAAGTCTGGAGGAGATCCAGTCGAAATCATGTCTATGGTGGGACCGAGGAGGTCCAACCTGGCGCTTTCGAGGAAGAGTGGGACGACTCTCGGGCGCGGCCCCATGCTGGAGTGGCCCCTCATCAAAGTAGAAGTTTCAGTTCTGTAAACATTACCAAAGCATCCGTCATTGTGGTGAATCGTACATCGATCACAATCCAATCTGATTCCCGTCTCCGCGGGGATCCCCCGCGGCGCTCGTGCCGCCGCGACCCCGCGGCGCGCGCGTGTGGCCGCCGCGAGGCCCGCCGCCCGCGAGCCACGCGGAGCAGCCGCCCCTGAGAGCCGCCGCCTCGAAGAGTGGGCGCGTCGTGAAGATCCGCGGCCGGGCCCATGTACGGTCAACCCGCCTTGGCATGGACAACATGGCCATGCAAACCGTCCTTACATATGTGGCACACCTTGGTGCCATGCAAACCGTCCTTACATATGTGGCAAGTTTCACCCGCAGTACGGATGGGCAACCTTCCCAAGTGGTACCCTTGCATCCTTGCCTCCTCGGTCCATCCTTCGCCGCGTTCGCTGGCCGCGCCCCGCTCGAGAAACTTCGGAAGGGGCGTCCAGGGCCCTTGCATCCTCATCGCGCATCCTTGCCATACTGGTCGACTGTAGACACCGCCATCTTCCTGCCACACTTTCGAGGCGGATCGAGCCGTGAGGGTCCCGGGGCCCGAGGGAACGGGGGGGGGGGGGAAGAAAAGCAGGGCCCAAAAGGTTTCCCTTCAGGACCCCTCTTCTTCGAGGCGGGAATCTAGACAAAATCATCGCCTGCAGGATTGATTTTCGGAGACCTCGGCAGGCGGTGGATATGGACATGTTTGGACCCCCAGGGGCCAAAATATGTACATTTCCACCGCCTGCTGGGTCCCCAGGACGTCGGTTCCCAGGCGGTGGATATGGATGAATCCCCGCCTAGCATCTTCGAGCTGTAAGAGACGGGGGTCGAATGTAAACGGGGGTCAGCCAGATCGCTGGATCTTGCAGGATCTTGCGGGGCCAGGGGTTCCGAGGAGGAGAAGGTACCCATGCCGCTCCATTTTTGCCCGTTTTCCTCTTTCTGGGCCTCCTGGGAGGGCCTCGTCGCCACCGCTGGATTCGCTTCGAAATAGTCGTCAGAACGCACCCGGGCGCATTGACCCGTGTCGACGCGCAGGATCCTGCAGGACCATGCAGGATCCTGCGAAGCCTGACTGGCCCGTGTTTGCACTGACCCAGGCCAGTAGATCCCCACAGCACCTGGTTCCCTTCGGGACTCCCATTTCGGCACTGCCCAGACGTTTTTTTTATACCGCATGTGCGTCGGCCACGCATGGACGACGCGCACGCTCGGAAATCTTCGAGTGCAAGCTCCGTGGCGGGCGCTTTCAGGCCATGCCGCTCGGCAAACGATATGCTGCAAGATGTTGTGCTACATGTTCGCTTCGGACGTGCCCCCCCCCCCCCCCCACCCCACGAACAGAGCATAGTACTAGTATGTCCTTCTGCGTCCCACTGTCCATCCTGGCGACCCAAGTCCACCAGAGACTCTGCCGGGACGTTGGACATTAGAACAGCACCGCGGCCAACCTGGGCGAGATCGGGATCCACGTGTGGCCGCGCGTCTTTTCAGGGCTCGGCTAGCAGATGAGGGAAACGAGGATTCCTTCCTCCCTCGTCGTCTTCGCCCTTGGACCTCCTCCTCGGCCCTCGCCTCTCAGTGGACATGGTCATCTTGAAGCTGGAGATGTCGGGCACGGGGGAGGTGCTGTTCGAGGTATCGCAGGCCTCCCCGGACGGCACCATGGAGGTGGGCGCGCTGCCCCCCCCCCTGTCTGGGCAGGGCTTGGCTGGTATGCACACGTGCGTGTACGCGTGCAGAGATGTCCCGCTGCGTTGCCGGGCTGCGCCACCGCGCTGGGGCGGGCGCCCGGTGTGGACTTCCTGGGGGCTTCTCGGGCCTCCTGGGGGCCTCTCCCGGGGCCTCCCGGGGACCTCTCGGGTCGTCTTGGGACGCTCTCGGCCCGTCTGCCGCCTTCGGATGCCGCCTCGGGGGTCTCCTCCGGGCCGCTTCAGGCTCTCTCGGGTTGCTTCAGCGCCGTGCTGGCTCGGGGGCGTGGACATCGGGGGCACCTTCGGGCGTCTAAGAGGCATCTTCTGAAGTCCTGGGGGCTTCTTCGCGGTCTGAGACCGTCTTGGGGGCTTCTTGGGTGAATCTAGGCGGCCTCTTGAAGGCCAGTGGGTGCCTCATAGGCCACCTTAGGGACCCTTTTGACTGTCTTGAATGTGTTGTTTGACCCCTTGGGCCGTCTTAGTAGCGCCTTGGAGGTATATGCATTGGGGTCTCTCGGCCCATCTTCGGGACGCTGGGAGTCGAGGGGGGAAGCAATAGTTTTGTTCAGCTCTTGGGGCCATTGTGCAGGCCAAGATACGCACCATCGGAAAACCGCGTAGGACGTCCGAAAGTGTCAGAACATCTGCGAACACGTTATCCATCTTTCCTTCCCTCCCTCCCACCTTGAAACTCGACGCCGTGAAAGAACACCGGGGCCTGAACAACTCCCGACCAGAGCTCTTGACACCATCTTTCTGCGGCATTCCTCCAGCTGGATCGATCCATGAGCGTTCCGGGGCCCGAAACGGAGCGACCACGTTTCAGCATTTTTGTCTATGTTTTGGTTCGTTGTTGATTTCATGACGTCCGGAACCGAGCGTCCTCCCTCCACAGGTGAGCCACAGCCGCTTCCCTGGTGACAAGTGCCGCCCAGACGAGAACCAGTTCATCGCCGCGCGACGGATCCTGAAGAGGAGGCCAGGGGAGACGGAGGAGGAGGAGGAGGAGGAGCAGCAGGAGGAGGAGAAGGAGGAGGAGGAGGAGGACCATATTAAACCCAAGACTCATCAATCCGGCGGGAATCAACGTCATTGCTGCGACCGGACGATCCTACATCGTGCCGGCACACCCTTCTGGAACGTCAACGCTGCGAATCAACGTGATTGTCGCGCCCTGATAATCCGAACTCGTGCCCGAGCACCATATCCGCGATGTCAACCAGAAGAATCCTGGAAATGGCTGCAAATTGTTAGGGGTGCGACAGGGAGGAGTTATTCAGAAGGTAGACTGATGGAGTGGCTCGGGGAGAAGGAGGACAAGGAGGAAAGGAGGAGGAATGGCGACGGAGGAGTGGAGGACTGGAGGGGGAGTGGGGAGGGACCAGGAGCAGGACGAGAGTGTCTTGATGACGGTGGTGGTGATGATGCTGCGGGTGGTCATGGTGGTGATGACGTTGGTGATGGTGATGATGATGATGATGTGGATTGTGATGATGCCGATGATGATGATGATGATGATGCTGATGATGATGCTGCTGATGATGATGATGATGATTTCGATGATGATTTCGATGATGATGAGGATGAGGAGGATGCTGATGATGGTGATGATGATGATGGTGGTGGCGGTGATGATGATGCTGATGATGCTGGTGATGATGGTTATGATGGTGGTACTGACGATGATGCCGATGATGCTACTGAATAAGATGATGATGAAGAAGATGGTGCTGCTGATGCTGATGGTGATGGTGGTGGTGATGCTGATAATGATGATGCTGATATTGATGATGATGCTGCTGATGATGAGGAGGAGGATGAGGATGATGATGAGGGTGAGGACGATGATGTTGCTGTAGATGATGCGTAGATGATGCTGATGATGCTGATGCTGATAGTGGTGGTGGTGGTGTTGAGGAAGAGGAGGAGGAGGATCCAGGACCCCTGCAAACATATAACAAATCGACTTGTACGTGTTCCTCCTGCCGCTTTCAGGACGAGTGAGGTGGATGTGGATGATGAGCGCAGGATGAAGAGCAGCAGGAGGAGGAAACGAAGAAGCAAAAGACGGAAGGAGGACTCTGCTGACGAGGAGGAGACTGATGAGGCGAAGGACGAGGAGGGGGAGGAAGAGGAGATGGAGGTGACGAAGGCAGAGGAAGACTAGGAGGAGGAGGAGGAAGAGGAGGAGGAGGAGGAGGAGGAGGAGGAGGAGCAGGTGGAGCAGGAGGAAGATTCGGGAGACGGCGATGCGCGGAGGCTGGACATGGACGAGAACTGGGTGAGCCTGAGCGCCGACGTGCGCGTTGTCGAGATGCAGGCGTGCGCACCCGCGCGCGCAGACCTCGAGCGTGACCCTCGGACGCCACCTTTGCGTCCGTGCTGGCCAGATGTTCCCGTGTGCCCCGGGGCTGGCTTCGCCAGGGGTGGATGCTTCGTGACCTCTGGGCGTAGGCGCAGCCGCGCCCCTGCCCCCCTCCCCCCATCCTTCCTCCCTCATCCCCCCTCTTTTCTCGGGCTCCTGGCAGGAATGGATACCTGGCGCGCTCCGGTGGTAGGCGCAGATGCGCCCTTCCCCCCCCCCCCCATCCTTCCGCCCTCATTCCTCCCCCCTCCTCCTGGTGCGTCGCCTTTCTTTCCTCTTGGGCAAACTCGCCTCTCCTTCCTCCTCTCCGCACCTAGGCAGACTCGGCTTCGCACAACGTGCGCATAAGTGAGCTCCTCCACTTCCTTCCGCTCTTCCCCCGCTCACTCCTCCTCTTCGGAGGCGGATGATGCTTGACGTGGTCTACCTGTCTACCTCTTTGCGGCCTACTCATGCTCCTCTTCTTCCTCCTTGTCCTTCTCCTCCGTGGGGCCTCCTCCTCCTTCCCCCCACCCCCGAGGCGGATTCGCCCTCGTACCCAGGGCTCCAGACGCTGTACCGCAAGCGCCTGATCTGCGGCGAGGTCTACTCGCCAGCCAAGGCCCCTCTCTCATCTCATTCCCGAATAGTGCATGTGGTAAAGTTTTGACATTGGCCAACAGGGACCACACAGAAGTCCCACAAGGGGGGGCGGGGAGAGCTAGGATATTGGACCCCCAGAATCGCGGTTTCTCCGGAGACTCCTCACAATGTGGGATGACAGAGTCCGTTTCGTCTGAGACTTTCTCGTGACTGTTGACAACATAATCCGTTTCGCTATGGACTTCCGCACACTTTGTTACTACGTAGGCTCATCTGCTTCAGAACTCTTCACAATATGTGGCCACAGATGCCGTTTCGCATGGGACTTCTTTACATTGTATGGCCACAGACACTGTTTGGCATCAAGTAATGACCGCAGATCGCCACATATTTCTTTCAACCATGTCTGGCCACAACGTCTGCTTCGCATTGGGTCCGTAGCGATTCATGACCACAGAAGCCGTTTCGCTGCATAATTCCCGAGGCCGTCTCGCAACATAATTCTACACTTTGGGACTAAAGAGGCCGTGCCGCCTTAAATTTCTTCTCAACTCTTGACCACAGGCCGTTTCGCTTCAGACTTCCTGACAATATGGGGCTACAGAGGCCGTTTCGCATCAGACTTTACCACAATCTAGGAGCGCAGAAACCGTCTCGCCATAGACGTCCTTACAGCCCATGACTTCAGAGTCCCAGGTGCTATTTCGCTTGAGCTTTCTTCACAAGGTGTGACAACAGGAACACCCCAACAACTGTCTCAAGTAATCCGTTCCAGCCTTCGATCCCTTGTGCAACAAACACTGCTCTCGCCACCGCGCTCATCATCATGAGGGATCAACCACTCGAGCGCCCGCGCCCTGCCAGCGCGCCTACCCCTGCGTGGGAATGGCGGCGTCTGGCTTTGCCGGGGGCGGAGCTTCTCAGTCTTCCGAAGGGACGGGCGCCTTTTCAGAAGGTGTCATGTCGTGCCGCGCGCGCGTCACCGTCGGTTTAGCAGGAATGAGTGTTTGGACACGACGTTGGATGCGCATGCGTCCACGCCAACCATCTCCGATCACGTTCATAGAGCTGTGAGGCAGAATGGCCGACATAATGCACAATGAAGCATCATGGGGTATCGTATATAACCACACACGTCCAAATTTGCAGAATTTCAAGATTGATCCACAATGGGAATTTAGCCGTTCACTTCCACTTGGTGCCAGTGATCGTCATGGAACCCGCCGCAAAACGTGGCCGCCTGCGGGAAGGATTTGATCAGGTTGCTTTCAGATAAGCGCTTCAGTTGCCCGAGAGCTTGACGCTGCAATCTCTGACAAGCAGGCGGTCTCGTCAGATCTACGATTTGCCGCGAGATGACCCGTTTTTGTAAGCAACGGTTTCCGGATGGTGGTGATGCAGTACAAAGTGAGCGCCTTTCGAGACGAGTATGCGTCTTCCACAAGTTATCACCAGTGTGGTTTCTGTTGCACCGTATTTGTAGGCTGCTTGACCGAGCCATCAAGAGACATGCTGCGTACAACAAAACGTGTAAGACAATCAGTCACTCTATTGAGTCATGGTTCGCGATCTGACGTAGGTACAAGGACAGAGGAACACTCAATCATCAATTTGAGGTCTTCGTAGGGGGAGCCGGGGACCTCGGTTTCTTTTTTCAGATGGTTGTTAAAAAGGGGCCCCCCGCGCGGTGCAATCGCACGACCACGTGCGGATTCGTGACACCATGGTGCTCCTCAACCTGTGGCGACCACGCGTTGTGGCAGCCTTCTCTGATGCCCTCGCGCCGCAGTCGTCATCATTTCCAGCGTCATCGCTGTCGCTATATCACAGTGGCAATGCTGTCATCACGGCGATCCAGCCTTGCAGCTGGTCGGGTTCTCTGTTGGGGCAGTCGCCTGCCGTCCTCCCGTTCGTCGCCCCCGTTTTTGTTTGCAGCCCGTTCCCCGCCCAATGGGGCTCGCCACGCAGCCCGTTCCCCGCCCACTGGGGCTCGCCACGCCCAGAGTTTCGAGCGGAGGAGCCCTAGAAATTCTCCAGGAGTCCTGGGCATCCCGCTCAGATCCCTCGGACTTTCTCGGGACTCCTCAGGGCCCCGCTCAGATGCATAGACATCCCGCAGGAATCCGAGGGATCCCAAGACGGATGGCTCGAGTCCGCCGGGTCCAGCGAGCGGCCCCGCCCATGCCCCGTAGAAACACCCATGTGTCGGGGGAGCGTAAGACCCGGGTGTGCCAGGACTCGGGTTCGCCATCGTTTTTTGACGACCGCGCCTCGGATTTTGACGAGGAGGAGTTTCGTGGGATGTCTGCAGCGGGAGGCCTCGTCAAAATGCAGGCTCGGCCTCGTCATTTTTTTGACGACCTCGTCGGGCCAACCCGAGTCCCCCGTACCCGGGTCTTACGTCTCCCCGAATGTGGTACAGCTTGACGCTGGGATTGGAGCACGTTCCCGCCTCGCGAACGGAAGGCGCTCGCGCGCGGTTCTTCTTCCGACGACTTGGCGATGTGGGACACGTGCGCGGGCCGCGCAGGGACGGGAGTGATAAAGTGTCCGATGGGCGCGGCGAAGACGAAGCATGCAACCGCGTGGACACAACGCTGCCGCTTTCACTCACGAGTTGTGCGGCGCTTGGGCCCCGTCGGCAGTTCGCCCTCTATTGCGCGGCTCCGCTGCCGCTGTCGCTATCATGCGATTCGGCGAACGAGACATGTGCCGTGCCCGCGCGGGAACGCCATTTCTGAGCGAAATGCGCACGGAGTATGGGCGAAGGCGACAAGTCGCCCACTCGCACGGGCACCCCGAAAGTGGCAAGCCAAGAAATCGTGGCACCCCTCGAGGGGAGTCCAATCGTGGTGCGACCGCGGTGACCCAGGATGTCCAGAAACGGCCGCAAACGTCCATCGTCCTCGATGCGGCCATCGACCTCGAACTTCGGTCGATCGAGCTTCGATCGATCGATTTCTGATCGACGGGGACCTTCGAACAATCGAACCTCGAGCGACATCGAACCTCGACAAGGAAGCTCGAACGATCGATCTTGGTCGAAACGCCCACAATGTCGTCGAACATCGATCGATAGATCTTCGATCTACGATGACGATGACGAGATGACGACGACGACGCGACGACGACGATGACGACGACGACGACGGCGGCGGCGGCGGCGGCGACGACGACGGCCGTGGCTGCGGCCGTGGCCACGGTGGCGACGGCGGCGGTGATGGCGACGACGACGACGATGACGACGGCGGCGACGGCGGCGGCGGTGGCGACGACGAACACGACGACGACGACGGCGGCGACGGCGGCGACGGCAGCGGCGGCGCCCAGACGACCATGAGCTCAATCTGGCCATATGAGGCCTCAGCTGAACAGCTACAAGACTTCACACGATGAGGGGGAGGGTCAGGAGGTTGTAGGATATCGTGTGCTCTAGCAGCCCCGGGCTCCCGCGCCGATCAAGTCATCGACCCCCGCGCTAGCCAGCTCACCGACTCCCGCGCCGACCAGCTCACCGACTCCCGCACCCAGGCCTGGCTCGGACCATACACCGTGCGCCAGCGCTAGACATCACAACATACCCGAGGACACTCCTGCATCGCGTCCGCGCCAACTCCGACACAGACTCCAACTCCAGTTCCACCCTGCACGACGGATACCTCGAGCAGCACGACAGGATCAACAGTTTTACGACCACCACGTGCAGCGCGACGGCTACGATGGACAGCACGGCGGCTCCGCCCCTTCGCTTGATTCCAGCTCCAACTCCGACGTAGACTACGGCTCTGGCGTCCGATCCCGCTCCGACGCCAGCTCCAGAATTCGATGCAAGACCCTTGCGCGGGCGTTGCGCAGCCGGGTTCCTGGTCTGACCGGTACCATGGTGCCCGTCGCCAGGCGCCCTTCTACTTTGGTGCTTCTCCTCCCCCTCCCTCCTGCTCCGCACGCAGCGCCGCTACGATTACTACAGGGGATTCGTGGCTGGGCTAGCCGCTGCGACACGTGAGGCCACGGCTGCACTGCTATTTGTATGCTTTCCTGTTCCTTTCTGCTTTTCTTTCCTCCTCATCCTCATCCAGCGTAGTCCGCCTGATACAGGGAGCGCTGAAATTACCCAAATTACGGAGCGCGCGGGTACGGGCTGCCCGCTAATTTTCGGCAGTATGCCGGTCCAAGGGCCATTTCAAGCTGCGAGTGGAGGCACTTTGGCCTCTCATGGTGTTCGTCGTCGTCGCCCTGCTGATCGCCTGTTTTGTGTTGGTTCCGTTTGTGCGGGACTAGCTTTGGCGATCCGTCACTAGTAGCTTAAGGCTTCGTTTGCCGTGGGAAAAAAGACGACGACAACGACGGTAATGACGGCGGCGGCGGCGGGCGGCGGCGGCGGCTACGGCCGGCAGCCTGCGAGGCCCAGTCGCCGAGGCCGTCCATATCAGCCGTCACCATGGCCAGCGACGCGGAGCCGAGGGTTGCGGCGAGATGGAGCAAGGACCCGCAAGGGGAGGAGGAGGCGGGGGGGGAGGGAGGGACCCAGAGATCCGATGCTCTGAAAAACTCGGAGCGGCCAGCCATTGGCCATTTTCGGCCTCCGGGGGCCCTCAGCGGACTCAGGAGGAGAAGCCAGCCCTACTGAAGTGGTCCAGACCTGTGGGGGTACACGTATCGAACAAATGGGAAACAATTGGAGGAAAATGGAGTGTGTTTATGACGATTTCGAGGGCTGCGAAACGACGACAGTGGAGGACTGCAAAGCCTCGCGGGGCGGAGGGGATAGGGCGAATGGGAAGGGTGGTTGAGTAGGCTGCAAGAGACGGTGGCGAAGGAGGGATGCAGGTGGCCGAGGTGGCGTCAGGCAGGGGGAAACCTGCCCTGGAAGGCAGCGTGCAAAAGCGGCTTGCTACCACAAGGCGGGCCGCTGCGGGGGTGCCGCCAGCCAACAGGATGTTGGGAAGCACCGTGAATAAGGCCGAATATGGAGGCCTACAGCAAAGCATGAAGGGAGACGGGAGGAGGAAGGAGGTGCCCAAGACGACGCCTAAAACGAATACGACGTGGAAGGCACACAGGAGGAGGAAGGAAGACAACGCATAGGGATAGGAGGCCGAGGAAGATGATCCCTGGGACGACTGGCCCCGGCCCGCAGCAGACCAGGAGCAGCAGCCGACCGACCATGCCGCAGAGGATGTTTCACCAGGCGCAGCGCTTCACCAAGAGCAGGGGTCAGAGATGACGCCTGCGGAGGGGAGCAACCACGCTGCGGGGGTGCGGCTGGATGAGAACAAGGTCGGGAAGCACGCTGAATACGAATCCGAATTATTGTAGCATCAGTACTCTTATCATCAGCAGTCGTACGATTAGAAGTATTATTAGCATTATTATTATCAACACTATTAGTATTCTTATTATTTATGCTATCAGTATTACTATTGTTATCTGTTTTTTTTGATTACTAATATTATTATCGTTAGTCGTATTATTTTTTGTTAGTATTATTAGTATCATTATTATCATTGTTATCATCATCATTATTATCATTATTATTATTATTATTAGTATTATTATTATTATTATTATTACTAGTATTATTAGTAGTGTTATTATTCTTAATAATAATAATAATATTATTATTATTATTCAATCGTTTCGCTCATTCCGCCGTCTCATGTTGCATGATCGCTACTGCTTCGCCGTGGGCCTGGGGCCATTGTGGCGCCGCCGAGGACGAGGAGGAAGATGAGGATGGGGAAGGGGAGGGGAGGAGGAGGCTGAGAAGGAAAGGAGGATCATGAAGATAAGTTGGAGGAGGAGGAGGAGGAGGAGGAGGCGGAGGAGGAGGAGGAGGAGGAGGAGGAAGGGGAAGGGGCAGAGGAGGAAGCCTCTCGTTGGCATCTTGTGTTGCTCTTGGGGCCAGACAAGGTCGTCGTCGATGCTTCTTTGGGAGGCCTCTTGGGGTCTGTTGAGAAGCCGTTCGGGGGCGCCTGGGAGGCATTTTTGAACTTCTGGGGCCTCTTGGGGCCTCTTTTGGGCCTCCTGGCGGCCTCCTGGGGACTCTTGGGGGCCTCTTGGCGGCATCTTGGGGCCTCTTGGGGGCCTCTTGGGGGCCTCTCGGGGCCTCCTCGGGCCCTCATGGGGCGGAAGGCTCGAGTTTTCGGTTCGTGGTCCCCCTTTTGGGCCCCTCTTGGGGCCGTCTTGGGGCCGTTTTGGGACGTTTTGGGCGCCTTTTGGGCCGTCTCGGGGCCCTCTTGGGCCCTCTTGGGGCCCTCTTGGAAGTCTCTTGGCCCGTCTTGGGTCGCTCTCGGGCCCCTCTTGGGCCGTCTTGGAGCATCGGATGGCCGAAAAGGCGACAAGTCCATAATCCTTCCAAAGCCATAGTAAATTGATGATTTTGTCCTGTCGGGCCCTCTTGTGAGGCCTCTTGGAGGTCACTTGGAGGCCTCCTGGGCCGTCTTGGGGTCATCATCGGCGTCTTGGAGCGCCCTTTGGGTGTCTCGGGGGCCTCTTGGACCGTCTGGGAGACCTCTTGGGGCCCTCTTGGACCGATTCGGAGCCCTCTGGGGCTCCGAAAAAGAGTTCCGGCATCCTTGAACACACCTTGCCGGGACCTTGCCGGGGTATTTTCGTCCGGGGACCCCCAGGGCCCGCCCCGCGCGCGCGAACTAGAAGTATTGTTTACCAGCTACCGGAGATCTTAGCACGCCTCTGGCCCGTTGGGCCGGCGAATTGTTATTGTTTTCCGTATTCTTTTACACATTCTCAGTATTCATAGTATTCGTCTTAATACTATTACGTTAGTAGTCGCATTAGTACAATCAGTACTACGTTGACTAGTACCTATAGTGCTATCAACACCCCGACTATTACTGATACACGTATGGGACGATTACCAATCATAAGCATACCAACCATAACATACAAAATAGTACGAGCAGTCATGCAAATACAGGTAGCAATAGGAGAAGTAATACGAATACGAAGAATAATACTGATGATGATGATGGTGGTGATGCTGATGATGGTGCTGATGATGATGGTCATGATGATGATCATGGCGATGATAATGACGATGGTGATGATGCTGATGGCGGTGATGATGATGGTGATGGTGATAGTGATTGTGATGGTGATGCTGATGTTGATGATGATGACGACGACGAAGATGAACATGATGAGGATGAGGATGATGATGAGGATGATGATGATGTTGTTGATGGTGGTGGTGATGATGATTATGATGATGATGCTGATGATGACACCTATATGGTTAACGATGCTAACAATCGTAATGCTACGGCGCATATTTTTGATACTACCACTCAGAACGCTAGTACTCATACTAACCACATAGCAGTCATAATATGGCAAGAGGAAAAGGAATCATGAGACGAAGAGGTGTCACGGACTCGTCGCGCCGGAGGGTGTTACGGATTCGGCGCGCCTCGCTGCCCGCCCGCCGGCTTGCCAGGGAGGGACCAGCGGCACGGAGAAGAAAGGAGAAGGCGCTTTTGAACAAGCTGGCTCAGCTGCTCCAGAGCGTGGGCGACGAAGACGAGGGCGAGGAGGAGGAGGGCGAGGAGGAAGAGGAGAAGGAGGAGGAGGAGGAGTACGACAACTCTCTCCTCCTGAAGCTGCAGCAGATTGTGCAGGATGCGCAGAGGGGAGGAGGAGCGCGTACCCTGAAGACGCGGCCCCAGGAGCTGCTCAAGGGCACGCCCCGCCAAGGAGGAAGCACCCGAGGCCAGAGCCGCGACAGAAAACGGATCCGCAGTGGCAGCAGATGCCGGAGCAAGACCAGGTTGAAGGGCGAGCACCGACGCAGCAGTAAACAGTAAACAGTCAGAAGGAGCAGGAGCCGATCCGCGTCGCGGACGACGGGCGTGGCCCCGAAGGTCACGTTCACTGGCATGAAGCCCTCGAAGGCCGTGCCCAAGTGGCAGCGTCACATACTCGAGCAAGCGCGACGAACCCGTGGCTGGCATCGGCCTGGGGAGATCTCATGGCCCACACCACGATCGTGAAGAGGATAGAGGCGACCGGGCGGATCCCTGCGAGGGCCAAGAGGACGGCCGCGGACGGGGAGGAGCCGGAGCTCCGAGGACTGCCCTCCGGATTTGAGGTGAGAGCGCGGGTGGCCGCCATCATGGATGGCAAAGGCAAGCATGAGCGACTGCCCAGGGCGGCGGCGGCGCCCCCCATGACCCAGCGGCACTGCGAGTTCGAGAGCTCGGGACTGTCTGCCAGAGCCGCCCGAGGAGCTCAGCGCAGAGCACGTCGTCTCCCACTTGGACGCCAGCAGCGCCCCAGAGCGGGGCCCGCCCGCGCGGGCGGTGCGTGGCAGCCCGGCGGCCGACGTGCTCCCGCCGCGGAGCTGGCGCGGGCCGGCCAGGTCCAGCGCGCGCCTCGCTCGTGCAGGGCCGAGAGCTGAGCGCTGCGCTCCGCGCAGGGCCGCCCCGGGCCGCCGAGCAGAGGTCCGGCTGCTCGCGGGTTTTCCGACGTGTGGGCCCCGGAGGTCTGGGCCACTTCCTTCCAGGATCGGCTGTTCCTCCCGAGTCGCTTTTGTTGACGGTCCCGAGGCCCAGTCGGGGGCCCCGGAGACCGAAAACGGCCCCAAGCCGCCCGCTCCAATTCTTTTAATTTGGAGCGTCGGAGCTCTGCGCGAGGCAGAAGCAGAAACGGCAGGCCCCCGCGGCCCCTCAGGCCAGCTGCCGCTTCCCGCTCGGCGACGACGGCCGCAGGTGCTGCCACGGCAGGTGCTCGGCCTCGAGAGCGTTCGTTTGCCCTCTGGGCGGCCATTGCGCGCGTTATGCTCTCCCAGGGCTCGACCGAAACGGTGGTTTGATGATTTCGAGGATTGTCTTCGCTTTGATTCCGTTTTGCGACAAACGCAGAACGAGGACAGAACGACGCCAAGCGAGAACACGATGAAAACGGAACACAGTGTTCAGGTCGAGCTCTGTGCCCCCCCTCCACCCCCCCATAACGCAGCGCTCCCCCCCAGTGCGTCCCCGGCACTGCCGCAGGGCGTCCGGCACCGCAGTCTGCCACGGTGGTGGGCGGGGGCGTGCCTCCCCCCGCGCCCCCCCCGCCCCCCCCCCGCTGCTCCCCACCACGCCCGCTCTCGCCGCGAGTATAAAAGTGCCCTCCTCCAACGAGGTGCGCACGGGGTGCACGTTCGGCTGGTGCCACGGGCTGCTCGGCAGGAGCCTCGACCCGATGGAGCTCTCGGGCCGCAGCCCGGGCGGTGCACGGCGGAGGTCGAGACGTTCGCGCCCGCCGCTCCGCGGCCCTGCTTGAAGGGCTGGTCGTCAGGTTCTGCCTGTCAGTGCGGCGGGCCTCTCTACCACTGCAGCCTGACGGAGGACTGTTGGCGAGGCCGTCGGGAAGGGCTCCGAGCAGTGGCGGGGCACCCTGAAGGGCCAGGAGCTCCGGCGGTGGGACCCCCCGTCATCCTGTGGCCAGTGGGCACCTTTGTGCTGCAGGGACTGCTTCCTGACCGGGGCCGCGCTGGGAGAGGGCGCCGCTGGGGGGGGGTGCAGGGATTCGGGTTGCCGCTGGACGTGGACGTCTGCCGGCGGCCAGGTCAAAACAAGAGCTCCTCCCGGTGCAGTATGCACTGGCACCCGCCAGCCTGGCCCGCCCACGACGACCGCCGCGGGCACTGCCCGTGCTGACAGGCTGGGCCTCTGGCTGCGGCCCAGGGCGGGGCGGGGGGTGCCGACCAGTGGGAAGACCGCCCTCGCCGAGGAGGAGTGCGCCCAGTCGGAGGCCGACGCGGAGCGCTGGCTTGGGACCACGCCGTGACGGGGGCCGTGTGCCATACCGACCTGGGCTGCCGCACCGCCTGGGTTGCCGCACCCGCCTGGGCTGCCACAGTCGCCTGGGCTGCCGCGCAGGGCACTTCATTCCAGACTCTCTCGACATCTGCACTCGCCGCGCTCTGAGGCGGCTGCCTGAGGCAGTGCGCGGTTCGTGCTCATTATCGTGCTTCCCGACCATTATGTTGTGCTTTCTCCTCGGCGGGTCCCCAGACCCTTCGGCGGCGCTATCCAGAGTCCAGATCCGTTTCCCAGACCGCGCCCAGGCGCGGCGACGAGCGTGAGGCCGTCGAGGGCCCTGATCACTGATGATGATGGTGATGATGATGATGATGCTGATGCTGATGCTGATGCTGATGCTGATGATGATGATGATGATGATGATGATGATGATGATGATGATGATGAAGATTAATATGATGGTGATGGTGATGGTGATGGTGATGGTGATGATGGTGATGATGGTGATGATGGTAATGATGGTGATGATGATGATGATGATGATGATGATGATGATGATGATGATGATGATGATGATGTTGGTGGTGATGATGATGATGGTGGTGATGGTGATGGTGATGGTGGTAGTAATGATGATGTTGGTGGCGACGACAACACCGACGACGACGATGATGATGGTGATGATGCTGCTAATGATGATGATGGTGGTGATGGTGATGGTGATGATGTTGTTGATGATGGTGATGATGATGATGATGATGATGATGGTGATGATGATGACGATTACAGGCGGCCTGGATTAGTAGGTCGACCCTGCCAGATCAAGGGTACCCTTGTGTCCTGTGTCTCGCGACCCATGCTTCGTACATTCCTGTGGCGATGTGGCCCTCGAAAGGGTTTTGTGTCCTCTCGCGTGTCCTCTCCAATCAAGCCCGACTGTATGGCGCTGATGCTGATGATGCTGATGATGATGATGGTAATGGCAATGGTGATGATGATGATGATGATGGTGGTGGTGGTGGTGATGCTGATGCTGATGATGGTGATGGTGGTGGTAGTGATGATGATGATGATGATGATGATGATGATGATGGTGACCTCTATGGTGTTGATGATGACTATTTTGGTGATGATGCTGATGATGATGGTGATGGTGATGGTGATGGTGATGAGCCTGATGCTGCTTATGATGGTAATGCTGATGGTGATGAAGATGGTGATGATGCTTGTGATGGTGATGGTGATGATTATGATGATGGTGGTGATGATGGTCATGACGGTGATGATGATGACGCTGAATGATGGTGATGATGCCGATGGTGATTGTGTCCGTGAGGATGTTGATCATGTTGTTGATGATGACGTTGATGATGGTAGTTGCGGTAATGATGATGCCGATGATGATGGCGATCATAATGTTGATGTTGACAATTACGCTGGTAATAGTGATGGTAATGGTGCTGATGATGGTGATGTTGATGCTTTTGACGACCGCGACACCGATGATGCTGCTGATGATGATGATGATGAGGAGGAGGAGGAGGACGATGATTCTGATGCTGCTGTTGCCGATTATGATGGTGATGATGCTGCTGCTAATGATAATGAAGATGATGATGCTGATGCGGCTGATGATGATACTGATGATGATCATGCTGATGACGATTCTGACGATGATGCTGATGATGATAATGAGGATGCTGCTGATGATGCTGCTGTTGCTGCTGCTGATGATGATGATGATGATGATGATGATGATGCTGATACGTATGATGATGCTGATACTGGTGCAGGTGCTGATTTTGCCGCTGATAATGTTGCCGATGGTGCGGAGGAGGAGGAGTCCGCGGACAGGCTTGTGCATCATCTCGTTCAGCAGCTGGGCGCCCTTCAACAGCAGCACGACGTTCTCTGACACTCTCTCGAGCTATTCTTCGGCGACCTGGAGGTGGCCCAGCGAGTGTTCGCGGTCATTCCCGCTCTGGAGGCCTTGTTGGCTGGTCGGTGGCCAGATCGGGTGGCTGCACTGCACCAGGATGTTGCCCTCCACGCAGAGGCTGCTGACGTCGACGTGTTGACCGCCTCTCCGCGGCAGCTCCGCAAGGCCCAGCGGCAGCGGCGCTGGGGGCCTCGTGCCGAGCAGCCGCCGCGGGGTCTGCGCGCAGATGATGCTGCTGTCTGTCCCTCGACGGGGGAGTCTGGCGTGCCGCCCGCAGTGGTGCTGGAGGGGGGGGACGTGGGTTTGTCGGAGGCGCGCGTCGCCGCGGCCGAGGTCGTCGCCCGCGGAGGCCCGGCGGGTGGCACCGCGTGCAGCGCCGCAGCGAACCCCGCGGGGATGACGCCCGGCTCCGCCGAGGCGATGGCGGCCATCGTTGGCGGCGGCATCAGCACGTCCGTCCTCGGCACGCGGTGCACCTGCGGCACGGTCGCCTCGATGTCGGGCAAGGCGATGCCTGCTGGAGTGCCGCGTGGCACGGGGACGCCTCGGGCCGTTGCGCGGCCCACCGTGCTCAGGGCCGACGCGGCGGTTTTCTCCCCCGTCGCGCGCTCGGCGCAGGACTCTGCGGCGCGACGGGCAGGGGGCCTTCGCCGAGCCCGACCCGTAGCCCGACGCCGACGGGGTGGTGCATGAGCAGTCGTCTTCTGTCGCGGACTCCCTCGGCGAGGACTCGGTGCTTGCCAAGGCTGGCCTCGAGGAGGCTCCTGTCCAGGATCCAGCCGCGGGGGCCCTCCCCCGTACGGCTGATGGCTCTGAGGGAGGGAGATCTGCAGCTTGGACGCATGGCGCTCTTCCTCTTGCTTGTCCCGCTGCCGCTGCTGCTGGGGTCATTGTGTCGATCAGTTCGTGGAGGCAGTGTCCGTGGGCAGCGCCCCGTGGATGCCTCAAGGGTCCCCGCCTGATTCTGGAGAGGGCCGCATTTTCACATTTGGCGCGAACCCTGGCACCTTCGGTTTACGCTAGTGACCTCCGTGGGGTGCGTTGTCATCTTGCATTCCTCTGCAAAGTTGACATCGTTGTGTTCGCTTTCTGCTTGTCACTCGTGGGTATTATTCTCCCTGATGAAGCGTTCTACTCTCTTTGGGCATGCTACTTTCGGCGCAATGAGGCTTCCTGGCGCAACTGGGATTGAATTGTATGTGGCCACCGCGTCGATTTTGAAGTGTGCGTATTATTTGGATGGGTGTGGCAATGTGCGGAGAATGGCAGCTGGATTGTGCTGTCCTCGCCCTCGGATCCCTCGTCGTCATCTCAGTGCGCCGCTGGTGGAGCTGCCTGCGGACTTCTTTCACAGTGACATGTACGTTGCTGGCAAAAAAAGAAGAGGGGAAGGAGAGAAGATGTGGGAGGATGGGGAAGATGGGGAGGAGGATGATGAGGAGTATGAGGCAGGGAAGGAGGATGACGAGGACGAGGACGAGGACGCGAACGCGGATGATGAGGAGGCGGAGAAATGAGGCCGAGGAGGGAAAGGGAGGAGGGAGGCGGGAGGATGGGGATGGGGATGATGAGGATGATAATGAGGACGGGGATGACAATGATTAGGAGGAGGGGTTCGGAGGGAGGAAGGAAGAGGAGGAGGAGGAGGAGGAGGATTAGGAGGAGGAGGAGGAGGAGTAGGAGGAGGAGGAGGAAGAGGGAGAGAGGGATGGAGGGAGGGCGGCAGGACGGAAGGAGGCATGATGGAGAGGAGGAGGAGGAGGAGGAGGAGGAGGAGGAGGAGGAGGAGGAGGTGGAGCAGGAGGAGGAGGAGGCACCGTTTTTCCTCCCCAACGACGACGACGACGGCACCGTCGACGGCGCCGACAGCGGGCTGGCGACGTCGACGACCGCCCCTCCTCGGAAGGAGGCGCTCTCGTCGCCGAGGCCCGCCGCGCACTCCGAAGAGGAGGGAGGCGCCCAGCACGCCGCTTCCTTCGGCCCCTCCGCGGGGCTTCGTGGGGGCTCAACGACACAGGCAGCCGCCTTCGAGGATCGGAGGAGCTGCCATCTCCTCGGCGGAGGGCGGCGGAAGGTCGGCAAGAAGCTGGCAGAAGCAGAGCGAGGCGCCGCCGCCGGCGGACGCCGGCAGACTCGAAAAGTGTATCCCCAAGAGGCGGCAACATTCTTGGGTTCAGGGTTTCCGGAAACCGCCGTCGTCGTCGTCGTCGTCGTCGTCGTCGTCGTCGTCGTCGTCGTCGTCGTGGTCGTGGTCGTGGTCGTCGTCGTCGTCGTCGTGGTCGTCGTCGTCGAGGTCGCCGCCGTCGTCGTCGCCGTCGTCGTCGTCGTCGTCGTCGTCGTCGTCGCCGCCGTCGTCGTCGAGGTCGCCGTCGTCCGTCGTCTGTGCGCGGTCAGCTTCCGTTGGCCTGCGTTGGAGCGCGGCCACTCGTGCTCGCTGGGGCCGCGGAGGGCGTATGCGTGCACGTGCACGTGTCTCTGCTCGCTCACGGGGGCGAGGGCCCTGGAGGCAGCAGGGCGTCGGAGGGGGGACGGGGGGGTCTTTGGCTGTTTCCATGGGGGAAGCGTCAGGCAGCAACCGCTGATCGACCCTTCTTGAGACAACGGGGGAGGGGGGGAGGATGAGGAAGCCAGGAGAGGGGGAGGGAAGGGAGG